TAACATTTTATATATATATATATATATATATATATTAGAGAAACTTCACTTCAAACTTGATGAATTTCATTAGTTGGGCAATTCGAATTATCATGTAATAACTAGTAATTTAGGTCCAAAAAACACTCGGGGTGGATCATTTAACAAGGTTATATATGATAAAATCAATTTAATGAAATAAGAAACGGGGCAGAGAACCAGATAAAACCAACAAAAAGAGGGAAACCATCCTTATAAAATTGAAAGCACACCGAACATGCCACATGGTTTGGTTTATTTTATCCCTCAATGGTATCACTAAATCATATCTCTTAATTTCTATGCACCAAGTTAGAAAATAATTAAGAAATAGGAGAATAAGCAATATCATTATGAAAAATTACTAAACAAAAACATTAATAAAGTCGATTAGTAAATATAATCAAAGTCATGATCATTACTATTATATTTTCTATCTCCTAACAAAGCAAAGATTATAATATACATTAGAGTTGATCTAATGATGAACGAGTTGAAATAATATATACAAAAATTTTATGTTTCAACTATGATGTTATTATTGTATTTTTTATAAATAAAAAAAGATAATAATATGTCAAAATTCTTTGTTTCTTATGTCAAAGTCAAAAGGAAATGCAACCAAAGTTATGCTTTAAAAGGTGATTGTGGTTGGTTTGGTTCACGTTGGAATTGACATTAAAAGCAGAAGAAAAAGACAAAATATTAGTGAAAAAAATTAATAAGTGTATTACTATTACTAGGGGATTTATTTATGTGGAAAAAGGTTTAGAGTGTAACTCGATTTTTTTAAGGGAAAAATGTATATTTTAGAATGGAAATAAACATATACATAATTTAAGCATCGCTAGAGAGAGCATAATTTATTCAAAATTTTATTATTCATTTGAATTAGGTACTTCTATACAAAGTTAGGTATACAATCTTAAAAGGAATACTTAAAAAAAAAAAAGATACTTAATTTTTCTTATGAAATTACTTTAATATTCCTTTCAAATAGTAATGAAAGAATTAAATATTTTATATTTTAATATATTAAATAATTTTCTTGTCGTTTAATATAATTAATTAATAAAATATTAAAAGCATTATTAAAAATAATTCATACGAAGATATGAGTCAGTTGTAATAAAAACCATCATATGAATCATAAATTAATTATTGGTAGAAATATATTGTGGAATTTCGGCACGGACAAGACCATTTTAATTTAAAAGGATTAAATTTACTTAGATATAATAAACAAATAAAAACAATTAAAATTAGAAAATGAATTAATTCCTAACCTGTTGGTGAAATAGCATCTTGATTGTCGTGTTGAGATCATTGTGGAATTTCAAGGGAATATCATCAGACTTCTTGGTTGATGTTTCAATTCCAATTATCGATGGTGTATTTATTGTGCCTCCTTCAGAGAAAGTTTTCATATTGGGGCATTCAGCTACCCTACCTCCCAACAAACATGGGAATTGCAAAGTGGCATTCCCTGAATAAAAGCTTACTAGACTTTGTAAGAAAGTTAAGGAAAAGTATTCAAGTCGTCCAAATATGATCTCATGAGAAGTATCTTCATCTTCTGTTTTTATTATTTCTTTTATTGATACACAATTCCTTATAGCTAGATATTCAAGTTGCACCAAACTTTTGGCAATTGAAAATGTGAGTAAATACTTCATCCTTCTACAGCGGGCCACATGCAATTGTTTCATATTGATGAAAGATACGGTTGAGCACACTAATTTTTCTAACTGAGGGCATTCGTAAAGCTGTAATGTTTGAATCTTTTCAGTGTATGGCTTTACCCACGTGTGCTCTAACCCTATTGACTCCAACTCTAAAAGCCCATATAGGTCTATTTGAAGTGACTCAAGCTTTACAAGATTTTTGGCAATGGATGAAGGGAACAGTGTTACCAAGCTTCCACAATTACGAACATCCACTTCTTGCAAATTAGGAAAGTTGACAATTCCTTGGGGAGCTTTGTTCCATTTCCATACACATTCCAAATTTGACAAGTCTTTTAAAGTAAGTTTCTTCAAACGAAAGACTATTCCCTTGGTCTTGTCTATGTCAAATATTACTTGCGCTGCATCAGAGTTATATACATTCAATTCTTCCAAGCTCTTCAAGTAAGGAAGTACATGAGATGGAATTACAATATCTCTTTTACTTGCTGCATCAAATTCCAATATTTTTAAACTGCCACAGAAGTTGTCTGGAAAAGCTGGTTTGCCATGCCGAACTCCCTTCATTTCAGGATAATCAACAACTCTCGCATGCTTTCCATATTCGAAAGAAACCTTGAAAGCAAAGAAACTCAATGTCAGGAGTGTTTTATGAAAACTATATACAGTAAGCAAATAACTCAACAACTTCACTTGGAAAAAAAAATAATACTTAGTTACTTTGTAATAAGACAGAAAATTTTTAACCTCAAAACTCAAGCATATCTTTTTTAATATATAAAATAAAGCATGCTTGAACTTTCTATCATTTTAGATGAGTGTGATTAAGTTTATTTAAATACACTTATTAATAATTTCGGTGTGTCACATTCTTTTTTTAAATCATTGACATAAGTGAAATTTGAACTTAGGACCACATATAAATTATTGAAATTCACGCCATTTGACCGACTTTACGAGTCACATCTTATGAACTTTAAAAAAAATGAAATATATGTACTATAAAGTTGAATAAAAAATTAGTTCAAAATCAACTAAATCTTAACATATGTAACATATTCTCAAAAGCAAGAGAAACTTTTATTTATTAAAAATAATAAAGATTCATACTTAAGACCACTTGCTTAAGACACCAGTAAAAAAATCATACATATATATGCCTCATTAATTGAGATATATGTAGCTATCATGTATCAAAATTCAATTTTTTTAATTAGATTGAGTTTAATTTTAAATATAATTAATATAACAATTTTATATTAAAAATAAAATCATTATAAATATGAAATTTAAAGTAAAAAATATGAAATTTACAACAATTTAATATTGGATGATGATATAAAAAGAATGCAATATAAGCATATTTTAATTAAAATTTTTGAATTAATTACTATCAAATTGAATAATAATATAAAAAACTTTTATGGTATATTTTAATTAAATTCTTACTCCCACTTTTATAAATAGGAGTGTTCAACGGCCGAGCTAATTTGAGTTTCGGTAAAAATTCATTCTGAACCAATTAAATTTAATTGATTCGGATTTCATAAATTTTTTTGCTTAAGCTTAATCGAACCAATCTGATGTTGATTGGGTTAGTTCAATTTGGATCATTAGATATCTAATGAATTTTTTAAAAAGATAAATTAATTTTTTCAAAGTAAATGAATTTTTCAAATATTAACTAAATTGATATATTATTAAAAATTAACTAAATTAAAAAGATTTGTAATAGAATTCTTCTTGATTTCTTTAAGTATTTGAAAAAGAAATGAAAAAAATCAACATATTCACTACAAGAAAATTGCCGTATAGTGACACACACCCTATAGTGACACAATATTTGTCACTAAAAATTACTTTTACCCACACAATAAATATAATATATGTTACTATATTGTTAAAAAGTGTAAGTATAGACTATAGTGACAAATAAAATATGTTGTTAAATCTCATTCAAAATCAACACTAAAATTGTATGTAACTATATGTCAAATAAGTATATATCTACATATATTATATTTATAGTGACACTTTTTGTATGTCACTATATGGAACATTTTTTGTAGTGTATTGTAACACAAAAACATCTTTAAAATAATTAAAATAATATATACATATTCATTGTTAACCAAATAAATAACAATAATATATAAATTAATTAGTTTTGTTTCAGATTTTAAATATGTAAGTTTGATACCCAAACCAATTATCAGATTTAATTGATTTAGTTCAGATTAAACCTAAAAAAATTTAGAACCAATTAAATTAATTCGATTAGTATTGTTAGGTTGATTGAATTAATTCAATCTAATGAACATCTTTATTAATAAACTAATTATAATACAAATTTGGTATATGAAGAAAATAAAATATTATTTTTACTATTTAAAAAGCATAACAAAAATCATTATTTATACAATTTTCTTCATAAAATTATGCTAGAATTTTGGACATTAAATTAGACTTGATTAGTACAGATAAAGAAACATGGACAAAATGAATAAATGATCTAATTATATCTATATAGAAGGCATAATGTGCATCCTTCGTATTTTAGACATGCTACAACATACAACTATATATGTTTTAGGACAAAATATTATTTTAATTGTAGAATATTTACTATAAACAAATCTTCAATGAAATGAAAAATAATTTATATGCTTAGGTATCATGAAAAATTGCAATTATTATTAAAACTTTAATGCATACCTCGTCTGTGATAATTTTTTGTAGAGTGTTATTCAAATCACCTTCCCAATACCATTTGTCTTTTTCTCCAGCTACAACATGTACTTTTTGTAGGTTTGGAGAGCTTTGAACTTCAGAGAATTTTGTCATTCGAAGGCAATTACTTACTACTAAATTTTCCAGCAATGGAAATTTTAAGTCGCACTTCTCCAAACTGCAAAAACTTTTGATATTTTGTAGATCCACCAATTCTAAAGATTTTAATTGTCTAAACTCAATCTCTTTTACTTCTTCCTCTTCATTTTTTGCAACAATTTCCAAAATCATTGGGCAGGAACTTACCTTCATAGTTGTGAGTTTAACCAAGCTTTTGGCAGTTGAGGTTGTCATTAAATTCCTCATCAATCTACAATTCATCACTTCCAAATGTGTTAAGTAACTGAAAGATACTGAGGGTGACACTAAATTTGTCAATTTAAGACATGTGTGAATGACCAATAACTCTACCCTTTGAAGAAGTTGGTCATGCTCAAAACCTATTTCCACTAAAGAATACATATGTGTCAATGTCAACTCTTTAAGTTGCGAGACAACACCTATCTTTTCTTCTAAAACGAGACTTCTAGGAGTCCAAATGCTTTCCAAGTGACTCTCTGCCAAGCCTAACTTTTCCAAATTGGGAAGTCTATGAAGAAACCAAAAAAGAACTTTAGTATTATTTAATCCAAACAACCGTAGAGCTTGTAGTTTGTGCATTCTATGAATGCTAACAATGTATTTATGCATCCAATCTGCTGCCTTTAGGCTCAGTACCATTTCCTCCATGTTGTATATCACCTAAAAAATAGATAAATATTAATTAAGATATATCAATATCTAAGCATGCTTGAAAACATATGTGCGACGACATTTAATGTGTTAATTTAAAAAAAAATATAAGATATTATATTTTTTTCACATCCTTTAGTAAGAGATTCTTCATTCATGTTTTTCATATTATTCACCTTTTCTGTAGCCAAAACAACTAGCTTTACTTGTGAATATGTGGTTTCTGTAGTGAGCCCTTCTAGCTTGTAACAATTCAATATGCTCAAGTTCTTCAACGATGGCCACTCTAAAGTGTGATTTCCCTTGTAGAAACTTCCAAGTTCATATAAACCATCAAATGATATAGTGTTTAGATGAGGAAATTTAAAGTTGATAACATCTTCATTTGAATCTTTATACCAAGCAACAATTTCCTTCATTGTCGTACACTTCGATATCTCAAGAATTTCCAATTTTTCTAGGTCATTGGCAATGGAAAATGGAAAAAGACATTTTAAATTTGGACTCTTTTTAACACTTATGCTTCGAAGATTATTGTATTCAAGTATTTCACAAGTGTCATCCTTCCATACGTGCACCAAATTTGGCAAAGCCTCTAGAAATACATTATGCAAGTTTGTTTCATTACTATTACAACTTTGTGGAATATTTGCAAAGTCAAATATGTTTTCCACTAAATTGCAATCAGTAATGGTTAAGCTTTGAAGGCTCTGAAATCTTTGCCCTATATAATCAGGAAAAATCATAACAAGTTTGTAACACTTTCTTATTATCAAAGAATCCAAACTCTGAAATGAATGAAGACCAATATGGGGCTGCCAAATGGTATTAAGTCTCTTCATGAAAATGATCTCCATTGTCTTTAACTTGCAGAAAACATCAATATTCTATAGCAGGAAAAGGAAATTGTTACTTAATTATGTGATCAAATAAAGTACCACAACAATTAATGAAATTCAACAGCAAATGATAAGAATCAAGTTTAATTAAAATGATCCATTCACACACCTCTACATCTTCTAGACGAAATATATCCTCCATCATTTCACATGCACATACAAAAAGGCTTTGGAGATTCACCAAACTTTCAGCCATAGACAATGACATTAAATATTTTAAATTACCACAATTTGTCACATTCAGTGTAAGCAAATTTTGAAAACAATGTAGAGATTGATCACTCCATATCTTCACGATGTTGATTGAGGACAACTCTAACCTTTCTAATTTAGGAATTGAAACCTATAAGAAAACATAATTAATTTATCATCATTAAATAATTTTGATTTTCAAAAGTTGATGTCCCAAGAGAATTACAAGATCTAAATGAGTATGACTTGTTACTTTGAGGAATAACGTATCAAATTAAACATTAGAAATTGTAGAGCAATTGACACAATTATGATAATAATTTTTACATACCTTTTCATTGAAGAGTGAAATGCGAGTATCAATTACATCTTGGCTGACATTAGTGGCAATATCTTTGTTCTTGTTTCGCACTTGATCTTCCAATGATTGTGCACTAGAAGGCATCTTATCATTGGTATATAAACAAGAAAAGGTTGGTAATGATTGTAATGTTAGAAATTTTAATTGAGGAAACACAATCTTGTCATCATTGATAGTATTAATTTGTCTTTCAATAGTATGAGTTTGTCTTTCAACAGAAACTATCTCCTTCAAATAATCACAGTCACACACTTCAATTGTTTCAAGCATGGTGAGTAGTCTAACCATGGAAAATGGGAAAAGGTTTTTCAACTGATCACATGTTTTTATCTTGATGCTTTTTAAGCTGCTGAAAGAGCCATTTGTAAGCTGACTGTCACATATTTTTTCCAAATTCTCTACTTTGTAAAGATACATGGACTCCAATTTGGGAAAAGCCAACTCCATTGACTTGATAATGTATTCAATGCTAAAATTGTTTACAATGGACAAATGTTTCAAATTTGGAAATCCTTCAACATTTAATTCATAGAAAACATCATGAACATCATTGATTTCTCCCAACAACAAATACTCAACTCTTTTGAACAACATTTTAATCCATTTTTCAGAATGAATGTTCATACCTTCTTTAAGGTTCAATGCCAAAAATTTCACCACTTCATACTTGTCAGGGATATTGAGTTCTCCCACTTTAAGTGTGTTAAATTCACCAATTACAATCTTGTAACTATCTAACCTGTCAAAAAACAAGTTTTGTGGAAAATGGACATCACTCTGAATGTGTATGTCTAGATTTTGTAATTGATTCAAGTGCCTCAACTCAGAAAGACTAGCATTTCTTCTTTCCAAGTTCTTCTCAGTCTCCCATGGAATCAAGCTGTCTCTCATATAAAACTCTTCCAAAATGTTCATCCTTGATATTATATTGGAAGGTATTACTCTTAGTTTTAAGCAATTGCTCAAGTCTAAAACTTGCAGCTTGTCTAACTCACCAAATTCATGTGGCAAACTTTCAATATTAGATCCTGAAAAAGTAAGGATTCGTAACTTCTTTAACTTTCCAATGATTGATAAGTCTTTTACTAGAGTGCATCTCTCCAAACTAAGCATTCTCAGTTTTGCCAAGCACTGAATCGAAGTAGGTAAGCATGACAAATCCACACCGTTCAATATCAAGATTTTGAGTTTAATCATATCTTTAAAAAGGTCATCTGGTATTTTCAAAAAATCAACTTTGCTGTCGATATGTAAGACTTCAAGTATAGGACAATATATACTCCCAGGAGGCCCATCATTGATATCACAATGGTGTAAAAATATAGCAGTATACCTTTCAAGTTCACCCTTGTGAGGCCACTCATCTAGTATGCCATTTTTCATGAAAAGTACATGCTTTCCTTTGGATGATATTGAAAGAGCAACATCACGCACAATGTCGTGCATGTTGAAGCGGTCATTAGAGTAACTTTCCATCAACAAACTTGATTTTTTTAGCTCTTCTATCAACTCATTTACTTTATTTCTCGCTTCTCTAATTGTGTGGACTCCTTGAAGCAAACCTAAACCCACACAATACTTTACCAAGTCCATAAGCAAAGCATCATTTCCCATTCTAGCACAATGTAGAAAAATATGCTTAAGTTGGTCATTTTTAAGATGATCATAACTTAGCTTTACGCAAAACTCAATAGGTTCTTGCCCTTCTGTAAAACTATGTCTTCTAATTTGTTGATAGACATCCTCCCATACAAAGGAGCTCTTGTTCTTTAGTGTTCGTCCAATGGAAACTAATGCAATGGGCAAACCAGCACACATTTTGGCAATTTCAATAGCTTTCACATCAAACATGGAATTTTTTTTTCCTGCCACTTTCATAAGTAAAGTCTCTGCCTCCTTTTCATCAAGGACTCCTATCGAGAAAGTTGATCTTTGTTGTACATTCATATTGCATAATACATCTTTATTTCTAGATGTTAGAATAATTTTACATCCTTTATGATCACCAGATACCTTTTCCATTTTCAACTTATTGAAATCGACAGAAAACTTTTCTGTTTTCAACTCACTGAAATCGGCAGATAACTTTTCATTTTCTATCTTATTATAACCAAAATCTTTGACATCCTGTTGACTACCATCCTCATCATCACTAAACGGAATCCCCAATCTTTTCATGTCCAAACCACTCCAGAGATCATCTAGGATTATAAGGGTTTTCTCCTTTTCTTTGTTTAGCCTCTTTCGAATGCGATCTGCTCTTACAATCTCACTTTCTTCTTCCAATCTCATTCCTATAACATCTCAGCAATTTGTCCTTGAATTTTTTTTATGTCAGGATTTATTGTTATACTTGCCATAACTACCATATTGAACAACTTCTTTTCTTGAGCTTTCTTTGCAACTTCTTTAATCAAAGTGGTCTTACCCACACCACCAACCCCATAAACTCCAATCATATTAACTGTAGAGTCTTCTAGTGTTATCATAATATTCTCCAAAATTTTGTTTCTTGACCCCAAACTTTCATAATCAATGTTAGACAGAGCAACATCAATGGATGGACGTACTCGATAGGAAACTTTTTCAAAACTTTTATTCAAAAGTTGATTTTTTTTTATTTCCTCTACCATCTTAGTAGCATTTCTGCCTAATCGATACCTCAATATTAAGTTATTAGGAAAAAAACCAATGAAACACCTTGTCTTTGAATGGCGTTCATCATGAATAAAACTTTCATATTTTTTTATCTTTTCATCCACATGTTTCAACCAATCAAGGACATCATTTTCAATTTCTTCTACATTCATTTCTGCAACCCTAACATCATTTTGTACCCTGTTTCTTTCATTTTCCATCATCTTAATGTAATGTTTCACCTCTTCAAATGTATCATTGTAATTTAATAAGTAGCCCATATGTCGTTTGACTATATCACCTCCACATTGTAACACATTTTGAGTAGTGGTAGAGATAACTGGGTCCATGCTACCTTGTTAGTTGACACTCTTCTTGTTTTTGTCTTTGCTTCCTACTTTGACTATAACTTTTCCTAAATGTTGCAAATATAAAATTTCAAAATGAATATGACATAAAAGGACACATATTCTTAAGACATTAAAATATATATATATATATATATATATATATATATATATATATGAATTTAGTTATGAGTTCTTAATATTTTTTTGTTTGCAGTCAGTTCAATTAATATAAGTAAAGAAGTTATGAAGTTATGGTAACTTGGGCAGTTATAGTGTGAAGGACCATTATGCATGCCCTATATGTGAAGAAAATATAAGTTATATCCAATTGAAACATGGGCAAAAGACCACATACACTAGGCATCGCAAGTTTCTAGTTCATAGTCATACATACCGTAGATTGAAGAAAGTATTCAATGGATGTCAGAAAGATGAAATTGTCTCGGCACCACACAATGGTGAACAAGTATATGAGCGGGCGAAGAACTTTAACATTGTGTTTGGAAAGACGCAAAAGAAGTCAATTGAGAAAAATATCTGTAAGAAATAATCAATATTCTTTAATCTTCCTTATTGGTGCAAGCTAGATGTTAGACACTGTATAGATATGATGCATGTGAAGCAAAATGTTTGCGATAGTGTAATTGGGACATTGCTAAACATAAAAGGAAAGACAAAAGATGGAGTGAAAGCACGACAAGATTTGGTGGACAGGGGTATACGTTATGAGGTACATCCACAGTCTATTGGAAAAAGAAAAGAAAAGCTTTTGTGAGTGCTTACGCAGTGTGAAAGAGTCTCACTTACTTCCCTCAAATGTTAAGAGTCTGGTGTCTTTGCAAGATTTGAAGTTAATTGGTTTAAAGTCTCACGATTGTCATGTCTTAATGCAACAACTTTTACATGTGGCTATTCATAACATTTTATCATCTTCTGTTAAAGTTGTTATTACTCGATTGTGTTTATTCTTCAGTGCCATTTGCAAGAAAGTTATTGACCCTTTAAAGTTAGATGAGTTAGAAATTGAAGCAATCACAATCTTGTGTCAATTGAAAATGTATTTTCTACCTTCATTTTTTGATATCATGGTGCATTTGATAGTTCATTTGGTTAGGGAGATTCAATTGTGTGGCCTAGTTTATCTTATGGATGTACCCTGTTGAGAGATACATGAAGATCTTAAAAGGATATGTCAAGAATCAATATCGACTAGAAGCTTCTATTGTGGAGAGGTACATTGCAGAAGAAGTCATTGAGTTTTGTTCAGGGCACATTATTGTCTTAATTCATGCTTTTTAACATTTATATATTATTTTCTTTTTGTGATTCAATTTTGAAATATAAATTATATTTGAATTTTTATTCTAGACTGCCTGGGTTAGGTGTACTACTTGATTTTGTATTCTAGACTGTATGCAGGTTTTGGGTGTATCAAAAAGTTATGCAAATCTTAAAAAAAATGCATAAATTTACGTCGGATATGGCACAGTCTGACGTAAATTTACGTCGGACATGGTACACCCGACGTAAATATTTTTGTGTTATTTTTCTTGGTTTTACAACTTTTTTATGTCGGTATTCAAAAATCTCCAACGTAATATTACGTCGACTTTTAAACCCGACGTAAATTTACATCTCCCGCATTGATGTTGGACTTTTTTCTGACGTAAAAACCTCAAAATAACATATATAAAATACCTCTTTTACACTAGTAAAAGAACCAAGGTGGGGAAAAGATGGTTGCTGATGGTTGCATGGAGGGTGGAGGCAGGGACAAGACGTGAGGGTCACATTTTTCTTTAGTGTTTTTAAGTCGATTTGAATTAGAAAAAAATGGTATACATTGCTTGTATCTACATCAGTCGTAAACTCACTTAGAATGTTTATGTTAATCAATGTAAAAAATACTATATTTACACCAATGACACTAATGCATATATAATATATGTGTGTTTCGTAAAGTATTTCGTTGTACACTAATACAGCAAAGACATTTAACATAAATTAAAATGGACAATAAATATTGGTTCTAGAACCGATGTTGGTTCCTATGATATAAAATGGGAACACTTTCTACATCAGTTATATTATAATCGATGTTGAAATATACACTTTCTAATACACCATAGCTGATATGACAAGGCTTCATTCTTTAACAAGATGATGTTAAACAACCTTGATCACTACAAAGTTGTTTCGTTCCTCTACCCACTATCATAGTCTATGTACATACCTAAAGCCTTCCTCATCCCTTGATGTGAATCCAGTCGGGTAAAATTGAAGATTAACAAGCCTAAAGTCATATGATAAAGAAGAAAGATTGATGGGCTGAAATTTAAGTAGTTTGGGGGTGAATAATTAAATAAGTCCATTATCTTATTTTTTTAATGTAATTTTTGTTTTATTTTATTTTATTCCATAAATCTGATGGGTTTCCTTGCCTTTTAGGTTACTAAGGGGAAATAAATGCTAGTGGGAATTTATTGCTTAGTTAGTGGGCTAGTGAAGAGTTAATATTAAGTGTTAGTGGAAATTTATGTCATCTTGCCTATCTAAACTTATAAATAGGAACCTTTTGTAAAAAATTTAGACGAAGAAACAAAATGAATTATTCAGAATTTGGATATTTTTCCAATTGAGAGGATTTTCTCTCTCTAGGTTCTTAGGAACTACTTTTGATTCTTATCCTTGAATTTCCTAATTCAAAGTGGCGAATCTTCCTCAACTTATCAATCTTTAGGGATTGTGGCGTTGTTCTTCCATTTCTTACCTCAATCCATATTTTTTTTCTTTTAATTTCTTAATTATGAACTTTCCAACCTAGATAGATCCGTAAAACGAATTCATCCCTCTAGGTTCACATCATTTGGTATTAGAGCTTCAGCTCTGGGTTTGGAATGGAAATGGAAATTTACTATACAAGATGTTTGGTTGACGACTCTCTGTTCTTGGTCGTAGTAGATGAATTCAATTTCAGAAATGTCGTGAGCAGCATGGCGGTTGAGAAATTATGCCTGTCCACTACAAATGGACAAGCAATGATTAAATTCTCTATTGGAAAATATGAAGATGAAGTTCTTTGTGATATTGCCTCCATGGAGACATGCCATATGTTATTACGGAGGCCATGGCTGTACAAAAAAATTATAAATCCTGAACGACCTTCTATTTGTTTTGTGCATGGTAGACGAAGGATTAAGTTGATATATTTATCAATCGACGTTGTACATGAGGATCAATTGAAATTGAAAATAAAGATAGAAAAAGAAAAAGAAGAGAAGAGGAGAGCAGAAGATGAGATACATAGAGAGGAAGATGACAACTCTAACGTTACATTTTCTTCTTTTAATGTGTCAAATTTTCAGGAACAGGAGGACAAGTTTTCTTGTTTGAAGAAGCATGTCAACACCATTCCTAATGCACCTTTATACATCCAGGCCATGTTTCAGAATAAAATTCAAGAGACCTTGCACTTGGAAATTGGAGTTGATTTGTTGTTTGAAGTTACTGTTTTCCAAAGTTACCACTTGAACGGGATTCAATTCCTATTCATTGAGTATGTTTGTGGTTATGAGTTCAAAGAGGTTTTATTTGTTTCGTGGATGATTAATAACTTACCAACAAGTGAAGCTAAAGATGGATACAAGCGAGATGTCTTCGACCCAGGAGGAAACATTATTTGCGTTTCTGTAGTAGTTAGTGAATTAAATAAATTAGGAAATAAATAAAGTCTTAAGATTCGGGACGAATCTTCTTAAAGAAGGAGGGTATGATGTGAATCCAGCCGTATGTAAAATTGAAGATTAACAAGCCCAAAGTCATATGATAAAGAAGAATGGTTAATGGGCTGGAATTTAAGTAGTTTGGGGGTGAATAATTAAATAAGTCCATTATTTTATTTTTTTAATGTAATTTTCGTTTTATTTTATTTTATTAAATAAATCTGATGGGTTTCTTTGCCTTTTAAGTTGCTAAGGGAAAATAAATGCTAGTGGGAATTTATTGCTTAGTTAGTGGGCTAGTGAAAAGTCAATATTAAGTGTTAGTGAAAATTTATGTCATCTTGTCTATCTAAGCTTATAAATAGGAACTTTTTGTAAAAAGTTTAGACGAAGAAAAAAAATGAATTATTCAGAATTTGGATATTTTTCCAATTGAGAGGATTTTCTCTCTCTAGGTTCTTAGGAACTACTTTTGATTCTTATCCTTGTATTTCCTCCTTTAAAGTGGCGAATCTTCCTCAACTTATCAATCTTTAGCGATAGTGGCGTTATTCTTCCATTTCTTACCTCAATCCATATTTTTTTCTTTTAATTTCTTAATTATGAACTTTCCAACCTAGATAGATCTGTAAAACGAATCCATCCCTCTGGGTTCACATCATCCCTTCTCCACTCTCTCTCACACGAGGCTTAG